TGTCTGCCTTTGTCCTTAGTGGACTCTAAAACAACCAATCAATGCATATCACTTCCTCTGGTGACTCACTCTGCACCCTTGCTGGTATTCTGTCTAACGATTTTTTCCCACTCCCTCTCTCCTTCCTTCTTCCTTCCTTCCTTCCTTCTTCCTTCCTTCCTTCTTCCTTCCTTCCTTCCTTCCTTCCTTCCTTCCTTCCTTCCTTCCTTCCTTCCTTCCTTTCCTCCTCCCCTCTTCCCTTTCATAGGTTCTTGCTCAGGATGGCCACCATTGCTCAATCCTCCAGCCTTGGCTTCCAGAGTACTAGGATCACAGGCAATATGCTACCCCATCCGTTTAACACTAATGATTTCAAACATGGGTGACAGGCAGAAAGAAACTCAGGCTCTGGGCAGAGGCAGACACAGCCATGTGTCTTTAACCAGGACAGAAGGCAGCATTGCCCCCAAATGTGACTTTCAGAGAGAAAGTTTCAGCATAGCCCAGCTTTCTCCATGTTTGAGACACTACCACATGAAAATGCACTAAGTTCCTGAGACTGTAGCCAGCCCCAATTAAATGCTTTCTTTCATAGAGTTGACTTGGTTATGGTGTCTCTTCACAACAAAAACAAAACAAAGATGAAAAACAAATGAACAAAAAAAAAAAACAGTGATGAAGACAATGATCATAAATTTAACTCATATAACCTTTTATGAAAGAGAAAACCAAACGCCAGTGTGATGAAGCTACCGTCTATTAGGTTTCTGCTGCTAAGGGATAGATTGGCCTAGCATGGCTCAGAACACAGGGTTCTGTAGCCAAACACAGGTTTCTGTAGTGAAAGTCCAGCGAGACTCAGAACACAGGGTTTACACTTTCCACACGAATCTGGAGAGAACACTGGCCAAGACCTGCTCCTGGGAAGGGTGAGTGTTGGGAGGAAGGGTTCCACAGTGAGAGCCAGAATGGAAGTCTGAGATGGTCTCTGTCTGATGTCTTAAAGCAGAGAGTTCAGGCAAAGCAACGACCCATAGGATAGATTTGGACTGGGAGGATAGTTTGGGAGTAGAGTGCTTGCCTTCTATGCTTTAAACCCCAAGTTCAGTTCCTAGCACTGAAAAATAACTGTTTCCTGCAGTTGCTAAAACAAATGACCACAAACCCAGTGGCTTAAAATAACACACATTTATTATCTTACAGTTAAAGAGATCAGAAGTCTTCAAAGGGTCTCTCGCTGGGCTGACACCCAGGTCTCCACCTCTGTGTTCCTTCCTGGAGATTCCTGGGGAGAATCGGGACTCTTACTCTGCCAGCTTCCAGAAACAACCCACACCCTGTTGTCTCTCACTTCCTTCCACACACAAAGTGGGGGGGGGGGGTGGATGGTCTGCAGCCTTCCTCCCGCTGTGCCACCTGTCACGATCATTCTGTAGGCTCCAGCCTCGGGATTGACTGGAAGGAATCTTAATTCAATCAGCAACTTAGATCACTGTGGCTTTGATGCAGCCACGTGCTCTGTTGTAATTGTGGCATCTTTGGTTGAATACTATTCTGTCTAGCACACAGGTCTGCACGGGCTTGTCAGTATTTTAGCCCGTTCCTTATTCGTGCCTGCTCTATGGGCTTGTTAACTACAGAGTCTCTGTATAGACACATTTGGGCAGCAGTCAAGGGGTCACCACATGGAGGGTTCATAGTCTCCTGGTCCCCAGGATGGACCTGGAGGGAGCTGAGGGAGCTTGCAGGCCTAGGAAGGGTCAGTCAGTTGAGACAGTGATTATCCACGAAAACCTCCACGGATCCCATGGTTGGGGAATGGCTTGGGGATACGATACTTTCGTGGTTTGGATATGGTTTCCAAGGGGTCTATTGTTGGGGGCTTGACCCCTAATGTGCTGGTGCTGAGAGGTGGGGCCTTGTGGGAGGACTTTTGGTCCCTGGGGGATCTGCTTTTTGAGGAGTTAAGGTAGTTCTTATGGAGACCCTGAAGTCTCAAGAGTGAGTTGTCGTGAGTAAAGCTAACCCCCAAATCACCCTCTGGGTTCTATTTTCATGTGTAATCCCTTCCTTCCAGTGCTTACTTGCCATTGTGGTGACCAATGATGGTCATATGGTCTTGGCCCACGAACCAGCAGAACTATGAGTTAAGAAAACCTCTTTTCCCTATAAAGTTAGCTTGCTTGGCTATTCTGTTACAGCAACAGAAAATAGACTGCCACAGATACACAAGAGGAAGCCAGCACAGAGACACGATTACTGACAGCTAGGCAAGATGGCTTCAGCAGTGCTAAGAGATGTCCTTGACTGAAGACTCACCCCATCATGTTACAACTTGCCTGGAAGGAGGAAGTGGGGGGGGGGAAACACCACATTTTTTAGCTGATACTTAAAAAATCTAATTCAAATGAGAAAACTCTGAAATTCCTCAGAAAAAAAAATTAACTATAGCTTCGGCTGCTGCCAGAATACGAATTTGAGATAAAATGTTGGTTGCTATAGAGACATAACGAAATTCCTCTCTTATCCCTGTGATTGAATGCAGAATTATGCCTGGTGTGGTGGTTCTATCTTTTTTTCTGATAGGGATAGTCCTAGAGATCATTTGATTCGCAAGTCCCTGTCATAGTGAGCACACTGCAGCAGCCAGTCGCGTGTTTTCCTTGATGAGCCTCAGCGTCTCCTCACGGGATAAGGAGAGGGCTTGAGGAAGAAGGGACGGTGTGCACTGTAATCAGGACAGGAAGGATGAACGTGTGACAGTTTCTATCCCCATAGTTTTTGAAAAGCCACTCAACTTTTGACGGCTATTTTGCTTGTTTGTTTATTTATTCTAGGGCCAGATGAAATGTTAAAAACGAACCCTCACTCTCAGCACTGCGTTTTGCTCAGAGGTGACAGCAGATGACAGCGGGCTCTGCCAGGCTGTGCCCTTTCTGGCTGGAGTGTTGGTATCTCACCAGGGCAGCTTTGTGTTCTGTGACCAGGCCACTCTCTCAATACCCTTCACGATCAAAATGCCAACTGTTATCCTAAAAACTCTCAGAAGGAAGTGGTCGGGGAGGACCCACCACAAACTGTAAAGTTAGGCCATTGATGGATTTACGCTCTAAGGCTTGGTCTTGGGGTCAGCATAGCTCAGTGGGATCTGTCTGAGAAACCGTCAATCAGCAATAGTGCTGGAAGTGGTACTCTTACCACAGAGGCAGAACACTGGGTTTCTGGAGGTGCTAGTAGGACGTGGATCCTGCTGATGCCTTGATCTGGCCCTCAAAAATTCTGAACTTATTCTGAATCAAACTATTGTGATCAGTGGATTAGGCCGTAGCATTTGAGTGCTTAGTAAGAGTTTTTCTTTAAGTTCTGTATTAGTCAGCTCTCTCAGCATAATACAATACGCCAGACAACTAGAGAGAAAAAAAGGTTAATCTTGATGCTGTGTTTGGTGTTTCTGGTCCCTGATAATGTGGACCATTGTTTTGGGTCCCTGGCGGGTGCTAGACAGCAACAATGGGCTTATGTTAGAGGAGACTCTTCATTTTATGAACAGGAAGTAAGAGACAGAAAGAGAATGGGGTGAGAGTCCCATAACCCCCTTCAAAGACATCTTGAACTATGTCCTACTAAGCCCCACCTTCCAAGAGGGACACCCAAGGGACCAATCTTCTAACATGTGGACCTTGAGGGTCACAATCCAAACTACAGCATAGTCTAAGCCAATGGAAATTAGTGGCTACTATATTGCTAATCATACTACACTAAGGGCTTATTAGGTATCAGGCGCCATGCTAAAATATGTTGCCACATGCTCTCACCCCATATGAGAGTTCCACGGGAAGAAAACTGTAACACCCTACTGTAGACTCAAAGAAGCTTACGGAAGTTGTGGTTCCTAGCCTACCACCGCTTATCCTGCCAGTGACCAAGCCAGAGCCTGAACCTTGATCACTGTGGCCCCAAGTTTGAGTTCCTAGCAGTAAGGTGACCTGTGAGCACCTTTAATCTCACTGCTAAGGGAACCATGGCCTTCCCTGGGAGCCACACTTGCCTCTGGGAGCTTATTCTCCACAGAGCCAGGTCTGGATCTGGCTTCGCAAAGCCTTTAGGGCAGGGTAGGAGGGGAGTTTCAGGAACCACGGGGTCTTGAAAGGGACCACATGTGCTCTGCTCCCCTGAGTGAGGGTACAGAGATGGGAAAGGACAACAGAATTCGATAATACTGCCTTGGAGACTCCAGACTGCAAGACTTTGGCAACAGAGCATTTTCTTAAGGGTCAAGCTACGCACAGCAATACTAATTACAGAGACAGCTCATTGGATTAATCAGTTTTTTTCCCAGGGCTTAGAGGTGAGCTTATGATCCCGAGATCTAAGCATGGCACTGCCATCAGGTCCTGGACGCACCCCGACATGGTGCCACAGGAAAGACGCAGGCTCGCTAGATGCCACACGGTAGCAGCAGCAGGGAGGATAAAAAGACCACACTTCTTAAGGTCTCCATAAATAAGAGAGGACACATCCCCATGATGTCTTGAACATGTAAAGTCCTGTCCACTGTCAATGCGTTAGACAGCCCCCATGACTGTCTAGCTTTCAGACTCAACTCTGGTAGTGGCAGATCTGATGTCCCATTGGTCTGTCTCTGGACTGTGATTCAGACCATGCTGTCCATGAAATCTCAGGGCAGGCATTTCTGGAACTATGTATGCATTCTTAAAGGAGGGAGCAGGTGGGTAGCTTAGAGCCTTGTTTTCACCTGAGCTGCTGGTGGATAGAGCAAAGAAGAGACTTCGATAAACTTGGGTGTGATACTGAGCTCTGGAAAACAAACCCCGAAACACGGCTCTTCTTTTAACTTTAAAGAGCACATTAGTCAGCCAATTTCATTTAAAGCAGTGCATCCCAAGTACAGGTATTTGATGTACCTATCATCCTGGCTTCCTGGGAGGAAAGGAAAAACTCATTCTTATTCCTGGGCATCTAAGAAAAGCTGTCGGCTCAACAGTTAATCTTTCCCTCCATTAGGAGTGCAGTATGTTTTCCGTGACGGAGCTACCTCCACCGCTAATGACAAAGCTCCGAGATGTAGACATGACCAGGGCTGGGGACATTTCTTCTGTACTTTCCATTTCTGGCTGGTGGTCCCCCACCATGGGCCCTTGCAGACCCGTTTCCTGCATAGTCATTTCTGAGTCCGTGTCTGCACACTGCAGTGGGAGCAGAGCCTGGTGTCTGCTCAAGGTGTCGTTGCTCTTCTGGGCCTCCAGGGAGTTGTGCCGCGTGGAGTTTCTGTGGGCCATAGCGCTCTTTTGAGGCTCGTCAAAGCTCAGAGAGAAGGTGACTGTGCCACTGCCAAAGATGACCTTCTGTTTGCATCTGGGCTGCTGTGGCGGCTGCTGCTGTTTCTGTAGAGTCAGCGGCTGCTGCTGCTGCTGCTGTTGTTGTTCTTGCTGGGTCAGGGCCAACCTCTGCGGTTGCTTCTGCCTCTCCAGCTGTGGGAACGGGTCTTCACTGTTGCTCTTGCTACTGATGGAGGAGGGAATGGAACCGGTGGAGCCTCCTAGGCTGCTGGACCGCTTCCGGGAGACGTTGCTGCGACGTAGCGTGGCACGGGCTGCCACTTTGAAAGCATGCGCCGCGGTGCTGCAACGCACCTCCTCGATGGTGTTCCGGGAAGGTTTGAAGAGGATGATGTAGACCTTGTTGAAGAAAATGCAGGCCAGCAAGCCAAAGCTGGCTGCCAGGATGGCGATCACCTCCACAGCGGAGACAAACTTGCCGTAGGTGCTGGCGTAGGCGGGAATGAAGGAGATCCAGACAATGAAGAAGATGAGCATGCTGAAGGTAATGAACTTGGCTTCGTTGAAATTCTCTGGCAGCTTCCGGGACTTGAAGGCGAAGAAAAAGCAGATGGCAGCCAGCAGGCAGGTGTAGCCGATGAGGGAGCCGAGCGCCATGAGTGAGCCCTCGTGGCACGTGATGAAGATGATTTCGTCCTCCAGCTCGTGGTTGCGGTAGCTGGAGGGGGGCGCCGTGTAGAGCCAGATCACGCAGATGACGATCTGCATGAAGGTGCAGAGGAAAACTAGCAGGAACTGCAGGTTGAGCCCCCACCACTTCCGGTGAAAGCTGGTGGGTATCTTGGCCTCAAAGACCAGGAGGACGCGGTTGGTCTTCACCAAGATGCACGAGATACAGAGCACGAAGCTGATGCCGAAGGCGGGCTGGCGCAGGCGGCACGTCCAGTCCTGGGGCTCCCCGATGAAGAACAGGGAGCTGGAGAAGCAGCAGAGCAGCGAGAAGAGCAAGAGGTAGGACAGCTCGCGGTTGGTGGCCTTGACGATGGGCGTGTTTCGGAACTTGATGAAGACGCCCAGCACAAAGGCGGTCAGGAAGATGCCCAGCACTGCAAAAAGAGTGAGAGCGATTCCGAAGGGCTCGGTCCACGCCAGAAACTCAATCTCCTTGGCAATGCAGGAAGTGTGGTTCTCATTGGACCAGAAGTCATCCGGGCACTTGTCACAGGCGCTAGCATCTGTAAAATGAACCAGTGCACGCAGATTCAATCACCGTGTGGTGCATGTGGAGGGTGGATGTGGTCGCTTCATATTTTACTTACTGATAATTTATTTTGACATCTATTAAGAGTAAACATCTTCGCAGGTTCTACTGCTCCCCTCTTCAACAATTGAGGGTGGCCCATTTTTTTTTTTAACACTGCAGTATTTTATAGCAGACACTACCTTGCACCCTAGCAATCTAACATGACACATCAACTCGGTTTCAAGCTTTGTCTGACTTACGATCTTTTTAAAATATGGGGCTTTTATGATTTATTTGTTTTTAATTTTTATGTGCATCGGTGTTTTGCTTGCATGTATGTCTGTATGAAGGTGTCAGATCCCCTGGAACTGGAGTTACATACAGTTGTGAGCTGCTGCTGTGTGGGTGCTGGGAATTGAATCTGAGTCTTCTGGAAGATCAGCCAGTGGTCTTCATCGCTGAGCCATCTTGCCAGCCCCAATTTAGGATTTTTTTTTTTAAAGTGAATTGTTCATACTTGAGGTTTTTCAGGATGGAGTTGTGGAAACAAACAGAGAGTAGCCTGGTTACATTAGTGACATGTGCTAACATTGCTGCTGTGTCCAGCACAGCCTAGTTATCTGGGGTATGTGACTGGCTTTGTTGCCATGCGAGAATAGCTGTCCCTTGTATGTGGCCAGCCTTCTCTGTTCTCAACTCCCAGTGAGGGAGGCCACATATTTATCTACATCAGTGGTTATCACAGTTCATACAGCTCCTCACGTTGTGGTGACCCCCAGCCATAAGATTATTCTTATTGCTACTTCCTAACAGTAATTTTGCTATGATTACAAATCTTAATGTAAATATCTGATACTCAACCCTTGTGAAAAGGTCGTTCAAGCCCATAGGGGTCATCACCCACGGGCTGAGAAACGCTGGCTTAGATAATGACTCTTTACTAAGTTGTCACTGCCTGCTAGGCAGGGTACAGTTTGGAGCAGGGAAGAGTATAAATTTTTCAATTAGAGATCCTGGCCATGCCATTGACTAGCTGTATAACTTTGGTCAGGCTCCTTAAATCTAGAAACCTGTTTCCTCATTTCTAAGATGGAGGGAATGATAGGCCCATTATCATGGTACGGTGGAAAGATCAAGACTTATAGTCAATATTTACCTCATGCTTCCAATATGCTAGTCAAAGTTTTATTTAAGAGGCATATGTTTAGAATTTATATATTAATTTGTTTAATTACCAGAGTTCCATAAGGGGTTTGATTGTGATTCTGCTTTAGACGAACTTGAGACTGAGCTGGAGAGATGACTCCGTGGTTAAGAGCACTTGCTACTCTTACAGAGGACCCATGTTGGAGTCCAGAAACTGACATGGCAGCTCATAACTATCTGTAACTCCGGTTCTAGGAGATCTGATACTCTCTTCTGACACCTCAGCCACCAGGCTTGTAGTCAGTGCTCATTCACACACACACACAAAATAGTAAATAAATGAATAAATGATGAATGAATGAATGAATGAATGAATGAAGAACTCGAGACCCAGGAAGACCATCAGAGAGACTGCAAACACACCAGGCACCAGCAGGCAATCTGTCACAGCCTGCTAAGCCTGGAGCAGATAGTACTGTGCCCATTAGGGCCATGGAGCTGTAAGAAAAGGGACACCCTGTTGGAGGGAGAGAGGTATGTGACAGGAATGTTTGTAAACGTGTGGAATGATACCCGACATTCCTTTCCTCTTCTCTCTCATGCCCAGTGGAATGCAGTGCTGAGGTATGCTCTCCTCGGAGGGAGAATGGTTCAAGCACTGGCTCCGCCCAGGTCACCCATGGGCTTTGCCTTGAGGGCAGCCCAAGTCCGGCACAGGATCTGTGAGGGTCTGGTCCTTTACCTGTCTCATCGCTGTACTCCCCATCAGGACACTCCACACACTCAAAGCAGCAGGTGGGCTCCCCCTCAATGATCCCCTTCCTGGTCCCTGCCAGACAGTCCCGGCTGCAGTTGGAGAAGGGTACCTGTAGACAGAGAGCACAGAAGGGAGAGGTTTGCAGCTGGGGGTGTGCGTGTCAAGATTCAGCCCTACAACTCATGAGTAAAGTGAGGAGTCTGGGTATGTAAGGATCAGTAAGGCTGACTCTGGGTCATTTTAGATGGAGAGAGGGTCAGGGTCCTTGCTCCTGTTCCCTGTAAAAGCAAAAGGTGGTCAAGCCAAGTGTGAACGTATTTGGCAGTTTGCTTCAAACACACAAGTAAAGTCCTGGGTCTCAGTTGATCTCAGTAGCAACTTCATGAAATTTGTAAATTGAAATTTGTAAAAATACATAATTTATAATTAAACGTATATGGTATTTTTGTGGTCACTTCAACAAAATTCTCAGAAAAGTGTCGTTTAGACTCTGAGATTTGTTGGGTTCCTACTGTGTGCTAGCTCTCAGATGATATTTCTATAGAAAATTGAAATTTAATTTATAATCCTGTCAAGTAGTTAGGAACACAAAAGACTGCATTTATAATGATTACCTCGGTTACACGTTTACTAACGATGAAGTTTATTTAGCATGCTCATAGCCTAACAGAGGACATTAGGTTTACAGGGAAGTGTACAGGGATAGCTCCAAGCAGGAGGAGAGATGAGACATGTACCAATGACAGGTAATTGCTTGCATTAATAAGGCAAATGCTAACCCGATAAAGTAATAGAGGTACAGGATGGTGGGATAGCCAGTCAGTTTGGGTTCTGGTCATTTTAAATGTAGACAAATTAGTGGGCATAAGACTTTAACCTGTGGAATTCCATAAACTTTCATCAGGGAAAGGTCAAGACCACATCTCGTAACTGAGAGGAGAATTTGCCCCAGGTGGGATTAACTGTCATAGGAGACCTCCCGATGGTAAAGCCATCTCACCTTCTGAGAAACAGAAAAATCATAGCAATTTGGCAATGAGAACAAGTTGACTCTTTGTTTACTTAATGAAAAGTGGCTCGGGAAGCTCAAATATCCTAACAGAAAGCCAATGCAAAGAGCCTCGCAGTGGATCTCAGCTAGACTCCCTAGGGATGTCTGCTTTTGCAGCGGAGCTGGGGTTCTGAATCTTGCTACACTTTAGCAGCCTAGTTAATGTTTTCGTTGCTAAACATGACGACCAAAAACAACATGGGGAGGAAATGGTTTATTCCGCCTTCAGGTTGCAGTCCACCATCACCGAAAGCCAGGACTGGAACTGGAGGCAGGAACTGAGGCAGAGGCCGCAGAGAAAAGCTGCTCACTGGCTTGCTCTCCATGGCTTGCTCACACTGCTTTTGTATGCAACTCAGGCAACAGCCACCTTGGGCTGGGCATTCCTACACCAATCATTAATCAATAAAACACTTCAAGGATTTCCCCAGAAGCAAATCTGATAGGACCATTTTTCTTTTCAATTGAGGTGTCCCTTTTTCCCCAGATGATCCTAGCTATGTCAAGTTGACAAAAAACTGGCCAGCACACGGCCACCCAGAATGGTCATCATCTCAGCATACCCTATGGCTTTTCTTAAGGAGCATCTTCACAGAGTGACAGGCTTCTGGTTATTAATCAGGCTTTCGTATGAGGCATGGGGCAGGACACCTTGACCAGAGTCATAAGCATCTTTCTCTTGGTCATAGAGTGAATGACCTTTCTGATGTGTGGGTCAGCCTGGAGCTATTTGAATGTCCCCATTCTAAAACATAGAGCTCTATTTTGGGCTCACATCTCTTCACGTTGAATAGAAATTGGGCTAGGAGGAAAATGCCATAAAAGACCGTCCCATGCATGCTGGACATTTAGCATCCCTGAACCCCAAGTGTTGAAGGCCATTAATACTTCCTGATCATTGTGACAGTCTATAAGGAAGTCGCTTCAATCTCCAGTTCAAACCCCCTCCATAAAAGTAGGTCAAATGTCTTCCTCAATGCCCCTTGAGAGCCATTGACTGGAGAGATGTTCGTTTAAATATTTTTGCTCTGGTTGGGGGAAGTTTTAGCCTGGGAAACTTAATGACTAGCTGGGGAGTTAAAAGAGGGGTGAGTAATAAAGTGTGGGTTCCCAGGCTCCCTCTCATCAATAGACACTCTTGCAGTTCGTGGGACCCCTGGACATTCAGTTTCCTATGCTCCCCAGACATTATCCGAGAAGCCAGTGATGGATCCCAGCCACGCCCCCAAGCCAGCAGCTCCCTGTCTGCGGCGGCTGTGTCTGCGGCGGCTGTGGCTTGCTCTGCTCATACCTCCCTGGAGAAGCCACTCCACAAGATCTTCTTCTCATTGATGAAGAGTCTCTCTCCCTTCTTGGCGTACGCGTTGTAATGCCCAACTTCCTTGAACACGATGGAGCCGTCCTCTGGGGAGAGGTGCCAGTTGATGATGGAATAGTTCCCCACCAGGTCACCACACTCATCGAATGTCACCTGCTCCCCCATGTTGTTGGTAAAGTTTAGGTGCCGCAGGTGCTTCAGGACCTGAAGATGAACAGAGATGAATGAATGGGAGCCATGAACCGCCACGCGTGGCTATGTTGGTTGTGTACTGTGAATGTTTCATAAGGAAGAAACCTGAACTGAAGAGATGTAACATGAGGGACTGTTCGTTGGGGTTTCTGTCCCGCCCGGTACCCCACATCCTGCAAGACCCCCAAAAATCACACAAAGATCTCCATAAGTTATAAAACTGATTGGCCCATTAGCTCAGGCGTCTTATTAGCTCTTGTAGCTTATATTAACCCATTATTCTTATCTATGTTAGCCATGTGGCTCAGTACCTTTTTCAATGGGGCAGATCACATTCTGCTTCTTGGTGGTCTGGGCTGGAATGCGGAGGAATGGGCTTCCTCCTTCCTAGCATTGTCCTGCTCTCATAGCCCTGCCTCTACTTTCTGTCTGGTTGACCCGCCTATACTTCCTGCCTGGCCAATCAGCGTTTATTTAAAACATGATTGGCAGAATATGGACAATTCTCCCGCACCAAAGAGGATGTGTTTCTCCAGTTTTTCTTAGAGTGCTTGCATGTGTCCGTGGTAGCTCTCGCAAGCCATGACTTTATTGACCATACAGTGTAAGTGGTGTAGGAAGCACTCTTTTGAAGATGGGGAGGAATACATCTTCCCCAACTACAGTTAACTGAAAACCTCTGCAGATGCAGCATGACCTTGTGGAACCATGACCTTCCTGGCAACCCCTGAGTCAGGTGTGGGGAGGGAGAGGAACAACACCCAGACTTTTGTTGTCTGAACTTTCTTTCCCTGTGGTTTTGAGTCTGTGGAGATGTCTTGCTGCCAAAATAGAAACAGAAAGAGTGCAGCTGGAGCCCTGGCCACCACTGTTGATAGTCAGTCATGGCATATTCTTGAGTTTATCTAAGGTCTTAGGGGTCACAGGGACCTCGTGCAAAAAGCAACTGTGATAATTGCTAATACACATGAGTTATTTAAGTGTTTAAATGCATTTTACTGCCTTTGAGGCACGATCCTTAGTGCTTCAGGCTATTTAATCCCAAAAACAGCATGAACACCCCCATCACAGCTTTTTGTTTGGTTGGTTTTGTTTTTGTTGTTTGAGGCAGGGTCTTACTGTGTAACTCTGGCTGGCCTGGAACTTACTTTGTAGATTGGACTGATCTTGAAATTAAAAGATCTGCCCACCCCTGCCTCTTGTGGGCAGGGTTTAAAGGCCTGTGCCACTATGCCCGGATCCACTGCCCGTTTTATTCAATGGGAAGCAGAGGCATAGAAAATCAAAGTACTTTGCCCAGGATCACAAGCCCATGCCTGGAAGCACCGTGCTCTGCTGAAGGCCTGGTTCTACAACCCTGAGGCACCAAGTGAGAAACCAGGTCCAGACAAGAGCACAGCACAGGCGTTTCTGCCACAGCTCAGGAGCACTTCTCTCTGTCCCCTTCAGATCCTGTTTTCCTGCCTGAGGTACAGTGTGGCCCGGCTGGGGTGGCTAAAGTGTCTCTCTCAGCTTGAGCACTGGCTTTGGGAAAGCATCTTGCAGTCTAACAGAAAGTTCATGCAGAGTTGCCATCCAGCCCAGCAGTTCTACACGCAGGTACCCGTTCAAGACACATGAATTAAGTACACGCCACACAAAAACTCCTTGTGTACAAATGTTCATAGTGACATTACCATAATAATCCAAAGTGGAAGCAATCCAAATGCCCATCGTTGGAATGACCGGATGAATGAAATATTTCCTTACGATGGGTTGGAGACTCTGTTCTAGAAATTCTACACCAACGATTGATTCAGGAAAACTCCTCTTCTTTAGGCACTGGGTTACTGAATGCTTTCCCCTTAAGGTCATGAATAAGACATGTATGTCCATTATCACTCTGCCTAGTGATATCACTATGATAACCAGTGAAATTGGGCTAAATCAAGCAGATTCAGACAAAAAATTTAAGACCTAGGTTCTGTAGCTCACTTCCTGAAACTAAGCACATAACAACAATAGACTTTTAAAATAGATTTTTAAAAGAAACAATTTCTGGGGCTGAAGAGACGGCTTGCTCAGCAGTTAAGAGTGCTTACTTCTCTTGCAGAGGACCCAGGTTCGGTTCCCAGCACCCATATGGTGCTGCTATTGACTGTAACTCCAGTTCCAGGTGATACATGCCTTCTTCTGGCCTCCACAGGCTCCTACATGCGTGTAGTGCACATAAACTTACACACACACACACACACACACACTGAATAAATAATAATTTATAAAAGAAACACTTTCTATTTTTTCTTTTGAGTACATTCCTTAATATATATTAACTCTTCCTCAGGAAGCATGCAAAAGTAATAATTTAAATTTTAACAAGTTCTGAAAAAACTATAAAAGATTTACTTATTTATTATGTATAAGTACTCTGCCTGCATGTATGCCTGCACACCAGAAGAGGGCACCAGATCCCATTATAGGTGGTTGTGAGCCACCATGTGGTTGCTGGGAATTGAACTCAGGCCCTCTGGAGCAATAGCCAGTGTTCTTAACCTCTGAGCCATTTCTCCAACCCCAAGCTCTGGATTTTTTTTGCCTTTATAATCCTGTTTATAATTCTCCCTCTCTCTCTCTCTTTCTCTCTCTGGTTTGAGAGAGAATATTTTTGCGTGTGAATGTGGTGCATTGCATGTGTGTGTGCATGTCACGCATCTGTGCATGTGGTGGTAGAGGTAGAAGAAGAACATCTAGTTCTGCTCTGTTCACTGGGGAAAGGCTCTCCCACTGAAAGGAACTAGACTGCTGGCCAGCGAGCCCCAGTGATCTCCTCATCCTGCTTTCACAGCTCTGGAGTGATGGGCACATGAGCTGCGTTTACATAGGCTTTCGGAGTCAAACTCAGGCCCTGATGCTTGCATATCAAGTGTGCTCCTCCAGGGTGCCATCTCTCCAGCCCCTTGTGCATACTCTTAATGTCTTTATCACAGTATTCCTGTCATTTGCTCCTTAATAATGCAGAAGGTTTTGAGCAAATTTATCAAGCCATACTGTCTGTGGCTGAGACAAAGGGAATGGGGCTTTCCTTTTCCTGGGGGCACTGATCAAGTGTCAATCACTGTTAGGGCATCATTAAAATAATTTAAAATCACTATGAGTGTCAATGAGAAGCCCCTACTATGAGCACGTCTAACATTTATTTTCCTATGAAGAAGCTAGGAAGTGTGGATTGGACAGTTTCCCCTGCCCCCAACTGTTGGAATCTCTGCTCCTTCCCTGACTGTCTTGGGCAAAAGGACTATCAATTAAGCAGTCAATAGAACCACTCTTACACCAACACCAGCTTCTGGGAACGCCCAAGGGACGCTCTGTGGAAGCGCCACTGAAGTCTCAACACTTGCTCTGGCTTTGGGGGTGCAGTGCTGACTGACCGCTAGAAGCAGTGTAAGTGGAACTTCCTCTGTATATCTGCTTATCTAAGTCAGGGAACGTCCACTGGGCAGCTGGCAGGGGGACTGCTGTGCCGGTGCACATGAGACAGTGTTAGGACCGGTGTAGACACAGCCTCTGCACGAAAGGTGTCCTGTGACTGACACAGACTGTGTTTCCAGTTCTTTAGGTCTAGCCAGCTCCCTTGGGAGAGTGGCTGGCAAACTGAGTCACGGGGGCATCAAGGTGTGGCTGACTCTCAGAAGCAGGGAATCTCAGGGAACTACAGGCCTTCCTGTGTGAGGGCAGAGGTCTGAGAGCTGCACAGAGAGGTAGTGGTGGCAATGGCCGTGACGCTGACGTTGGTAAGAGCACCAGCAGTTCCAAAGGCCAAGGGCCTAAAGACACCCCAGGGCTGGGAGCTGTATTCTTGGCCGCTGTCAAAGGCTGAGGAATCCAAACTTTGAGGCCAACACAAGAGTTGTAACACTTGTCGGGCTGAGTCCCAGCACCCGAGGCTTGCCTGAGAACCATGAGCCAGAGGGAGCCGGCTGCTGCCGTTCCCTCTCATCTGATGCCGTCACTGCCTCCTTCAAATAGCTGCGGGGAGAAAAACTGCCGAAGACCAGCCCTTATTTCTCGTCTACGCATAAGTAATAGATACTCGGGAAATAGTGGCCATATGATCCCTGACGTACCAGGACCGCAGCCAGCTGATTGGGAACATGACTCTTCTCTGAGACCGCACACCAGGGAGAAGGTGTGTGGTCGGTCCACGCACTGTCTTGTCACTAACTTCACTTCTGTTTTCTTTCGGCACATGTCTGTGGCCAAGTCTCCTCCTTCCTTTAGCTGTTTATTTCACAAGTAGGGCCAAACAGGCCGGTTTGAGGAGGAGAGATACAGTAGTATTTGATACAGCCAAGAAGACGTTGGGTCTCCCCTGGCATGGTCAGTCAGATCCATCTGTAGCTTCTCCCACAACACACTTGCTCCCTGGAGAAAGCATGTACATGAACTTGGGTGCGAGGACAGGCGTCCAAGTTCAACACCGCACCAGTGTCTTCCTTGGGACCCATCGTTGGGCCAGCAGCCTCTTGGGTTCTAGAAAGCGTGTGTGCAGAGGGACCTATGGGCCACACTGCTCTTTCAGAGAAAGCACTGGCCTTGACAGGACACGGGTCATCTGGATGTGGCCTTTCTTACCGGCTAGCTATCTGACTTCGGTAAAATAATTGTAGTTACCCTGGGTCTTTCCCTATACACAAAGCAATGGTGCTCAAGATCTCTGTTTACTGAACCTGTATCCGTCATAGGCACCACCCCCAGGACTATGCATATTAACTGATCATTAACTTATAACAAACTTGTAAGTCTTGAGACGCCCATTTCTCAGGCCAGGGAAGTGGGGCATAGGGCATTAAGCGGCATCCTAAGGTCAGAAAATGGTTGGCAGCTGAGAATGGCTGAGTCAGGAGGGGGAGTCCAAACTGAACAGATGACATCACCGCCTGCTCATGTGTAGCAGTTAGATTGGATGGGCCATAAGACTCTCTGTCTCTAGGTCAACAGCTTAACTAGTAGGAAATTTAGGTTGAGAGGGAATT